AATTGGAAACTGCCGATGGATTGGAAATAAGTGAGCTCTTATGGAGAGAGATTGATCAAGTGGACAGCGGGATCATCCATTGAAGCAATTAAACAGTCTTCCGAAAAGGTGAAAACAAAAATTCAATTCTGGGGTCTGCATTTCTTGCTTTCTCTGATGAAGATGGCTACAATGCCGACACTCAACCTGCAAACGGCTGTACAACGAACAGAAAATTGTGACATCAACGAAAATGGTTTCAAATTCAAAACCAAAGAGGCACAACTGAAAATCAACAAGAAGGATTGCTGGGGGTCACTGTTTTGTGATCACTGTTTTGTGATCACTGTTTTGGATTTCTGGGCGTTTTGCGTCTCTTGGAAGACAAAAACAGTTTAAATGTCTAAGAGCGCTCTGATCTGCTCTGGTGTGTGCGTTGCAGCACCAATTGAAACTGTTCCAATATAGATTTCTTCATATGCATCAGCGATTGCTACAAGAACTAAACGCCTGAGACGAAGAATCACAAAAGAGAAGAAACATGAGAAACATCATTAACAGAGCTAGTTATTATTCCACATCCGCCTGCCATACGAACAAGTCTACCTTGCTTGCATTCTTAATGCTCGGGACGTAATTTTATCAAGTTGGGACAGAGAGAGTGTCATCGCGCCAGAAAACAACGAATTGTAAAATGAACGCAAACATGCGGGAAGGGAAAGCGGGTGAAGAGCAGAAATACTGGCTGACACACAAATGAAGCAACAATGTGCAAAGATGAATGACTTAATATCTTGGATGAATGACGAATGACTCATATGAATAACGGATGATCCACCGGATGATCATTGATGATTTCTCACACAGAGGCCTTCTTTCTTTCATATCATCCGATTGTTTGTTCCATTCTCTCAATGCATCAAGTTTCTCCGAAAATTCTAATTTTTGTAAAGCCAACTTCTTCTGTATCTCCGTTAGTTGCACCATTTGTTCCTCTAGCAGTGACTGGCAGAGATCGACGTATTGATGAGCACTCGAAAATGGACGAAAAGCTTCCTGAGAACAGAAACGAACAATTCAAACTTTGACAGGCAGGGATGAAGGAATGGGAATGGATACAATCCCTCTATACAATCCAGGGATGGTGATCGGTTTACCTGAATGTAGGAGTAGCAATTGACGAGATAAAGAGAGGAGGACTCATGTGGCAAATATTGAGCAGTTTGTCTGACAGAATGACGACATCATAAAAAATGTTGACAAGAAAACGTACCGGCAAAAATTGAGAAGTGGAGTGATGGCTGCACTGATGATGTGGTTGATTTTATCACCCTCTTGAAGAGAATTTGTTGAAAATAGCAAGGGAGACCCTTGATGTAGGACTAAGACGTCAACAATCACAGCAACCTAAAAAGAAGATCCATGTTCGATCAGGAACAAGAGGCTTACGTTTTGATGGAGAAAATGTGGAGGAGAAAGATCAGCAGTCCAAAGTTCCGCTGTGGGAAGCGACCCCAGTCGCGCTGTCTGGATGGATACAAACTGATAGACAGATGAATACAGTAACATACTTGCGCCTCCCAAGCCATAAGAAACAACTGATAAGCTTCTTCCTTTAATTCTTCACAACATCTGAGATTCGAACACTTGGGACAATCATGGACGAGCTGCTCACTTGACGAAGGAAGGCTTTCGACCTTTCAACAATGCGGTCTTGGAGAGTTTCTCATCTGAACAAATCAAGAAATGAGTCCCAAATCAAGAATGAGTCAGAGAAATCAAGAGAGTGCCACTAGCGCTATTGTACCGATTTTGCTGTCAGCTCCACTCATGATCACTCCCAATGTCTCGATGTAAAAAGTTAATATTTGTTGACATTGACAAAGATCGACAGGTGATGATTTCGATTGACGGAGAGCTTGTTCAATACGAACTCGAAATGCTGGAATGATTCCTAAAAGATCAACGCACCATGATCCCCATATTTCAACATCATTGTGTTCGAGGATTCAATCCCCGACTGCATGGACACATATTTCAGAAATTTCTCACCTTCAAAAATGAAATCAATCGCCTCCGTCAAACACGCGAATTGTGAACACGTTCTCATCGACTCTTCTTCAGTTTTATTCGAATCTTCGAACGTCAGTCCAGCGTCCTCAATCGCTTGTTCAATCGATTCAACGTGGCCATTGGAATCCGATGTTTCATCATTATTTCGAACAGTTTCCTCTCCATCATTTTCACCGTCATCTGAGGAGGGTTGGCCACTTGGGAGTCCCATAACGACCTCTGCAAATTCTCGTTCAGATGCTGCTGCTTCATGAATAAAGGCAAGCAAGTCTCCAATAAATCTAAGAAACACGAATTTCGAAGAGATTAGAAGATTTTCACGCACCGAGGAACGTCATAGGGAGATGAATCGCCCCAACCGCCAGGAACAGAAGGTTTGAACAAATTCGCATGAAACTCTGAAGTCAGAAGTTGACGACGTTTCTGAGGCGAAGAAGAGCTTGACGTTCTTCCAATAAACGAAATAGATGGGAATACCTTCGCAAGATCGGTTAATATCAGATGTGAATATTCCGTCTGATTCCGAAGCAGTTTCAAGGCTCGTTGAATCAGATGCGTCGATTGACGTTCGTTTGGAAAATGATCATCTGGGGAGTTGATTGACTTGATGGTTCTAAATGAAGTCTCGTCGGTTGGAAGAAGTACAGAAAGATCTGGAAGCGCTCTGAAGAAATTGAGAAACCATCAACTACGGAAATTGATAAAAAACTACAAAATACGGAAGGTATACAAATGTAAGAAGTATCAAATACAGAGTTCAAAGCCATGCAGTGAACAGATGATGGATCAACGGTGACAGCTGACCTCACAATTGACGAAACGATAAGGAAAAGTTTCTCATAGACGACTTCCAAGAGCTCCTTAGTTTCTTGTAAAATATCGATAGCTGCCACTTTACTCAATCCAGCTGTTGCTTCAGCATCCTCTGCTTCCTGTAGAAGAGCCACATTTGAGTCATTCGCTTTTCTTGCAATTGTAGATTCTTGAGTGACACCATCTACTAAGGAAATTAATTCTTCTGCATTCCTTCGAACTCTTTCGATGTCTTCAATTCCGTTAAAAAAATCTGGTTGAAGAAGTTGGAGAGTTGATTCGACATTCATGGTGTTCAATGGTGCTTGTGTTGCTGAGTTGATGAACAATCGGACTGTCGAGTCTTGAACACGAAGCTTCTCCGTTAATTTTAAAGCAATTTGGTTCTTTAGTCTCACGTGTGATCGCGCCATTTGTAATGCTTGCGCTTTCTCTAATACTTGCTGATTCGTCGAACAACATTCATTTAATTCTAATAACGCTGACTGAACATCGGAGAGCAGTCCGTCGACATCATCACTGATTTTCTCTAATTCAGTTGAAACTTCACTGAATCCCTCCAAGTATTTAGAATGAATTTCGCTTATCTGTCGATGCCCCACGGTTGATCGAAACGAGTTAAACTGAACTGCTCCTCCCACCAAACTCAAAAGATCAAGCGGTGCATCGCTGGTGTCGAAAAACTCTGATAAAATATCAAATGCAGACGCAACTTCACCAGACGAAAAGAAATGATCCCGTTCAACCAATTTTTTGACTCGTTCTGGGAGATGGCTGTGATGTTGAGTCGGTTGCTCAAGTCGACTACCCGTCAAGTACACACCGACCTCAGGAGGACGTTCAAGAGACATTCAATCCTGTCTGCAAATAGGCGTTTTCTAGTTGTTAATAGTCGTTCATTCCGATCTGACTAGTCCCTGTCCCTACTCCTCCTGGAGCACCTGCATGCGGGCACATGAACGGCAGATCACTTGAACAAAGGTTTTCAGAGAAATTTTTTCAGTAAAAAATGGGGCTTTGCAGCAGCAGCAAAAATTTTGCTAATGTTTTCTGTTGCATCCCTCTGGCGCTTTTCGCAATCATTTCGGTAAAAAGCAATCAATTCCGTTTTGTCACAAGCTTCCAATTGTGCGTTCTTTTCCAGGGTGTGCTCTTCATTCTTTGGGGTTCATGGGAAATATGGTCATCAGTTAATGATAAGGACTGGGTCAGTTGGACCCTCGTGTTGTCCGTTATTCTTTCCTCGCTCAAAATTATCATGGGAGCACTTGGGCTGATTGGGGACGATTTTCCGTTGGGGAGCTGGAGTGCGTTTCCTATCAGGGGCCTATAAGATTCTGCTCATGTCCGTTATACTGAGCTTCCTTCTCTCCGTAAGACATCGCACTAGTAGATTTTTTGCCATTCCACTTCTGCATTTCTTGTTGTCATTTTCATTTCTTCTGCTTGTTGTCATTTTCATTTCTTCTGCTTGTTGTCATTTTCATTTCTTCTGCTTGTTGTCATTTTCATTTCTTCTGCTTGTTGTCATTTTCATTTCTTCTGCTTGTTGTCATTTTCATTTCTTCTGCTTGTTGTCATTTTCATTTCTTCTGCTTGTTGTCATTTTCATTTCTTCTGCTTGTTGTCATTTTCATTTCTTCTGCTTGTTGTCATTTTCATTTCTTCTGCTTGTTGTCATTTTCATTTCTTCTATTGTAGTGGATTCGGTGGATTGTCGATATTGCTCAGAAAAAGGCGTCAGGGGTCGATTCAAAAAAACAATTCCCGGTCAAAGATGAAATTATATTTATGGTCATGTATTCTGTTTGTCATCTAATATTTTTCATTTTGAGTTGGTGGATCCTTGGTTGTTACAAATCTCTGGCTGCGGTTATTAACGCGGGAGGTGAGTTTCGGATCCCATCATTCAAGTCTCAATCATATTTTATGCTTCATCCTTCATTTAATCCTTCTTGCTTCATTCTTTTTTCAGGTAATGGTTGGGAACTGAAGAACTACAAAGCTATCCGGTTGGAAAAAATGGAAAATAAGAATGACGACATCGCATGATTTGCCTTTTCTCCAATTCGTTTTCAATCATTTTTTCGAACTCGGAGACAGCCAAAATGTCTGGAACTCCTCTCTTAGAAACTCTAATCAGAGATCTTCTCGTCCTCTCTTCTTCGTTTTCTTGGTTTCTCGTCTACATCGCCCCCCTTACTTCTGGACGCCATTCCAGATGATAGCATATGAGAATGAAACGCCATCAAATTTTTCTTCTTCTTTGGGTCATTGAGCGCGTCCTGGAGATCCTTTTCGACCATTTTCTGTTCATATGCTTGGCGTTCCTCAAGCCGTTTCTTATATGCACCTGTTCATCGGAATTGAATTGCTGGTTGTGCATTTATTTATTCACCTGTCACAAAGACTTCTTCATCTTTAACTTCGCTTTCACCTTCTTCTTCTCTTTGCCTCTTAAGCAATCGCTCTTTCACTATTTCAAGCTCCATCTCTCGCTTCGTTGCACGCTCCGCCAGAGCACCAACATAACGAGGTGGCGGAAGATCTTTTCCTCCGCCTTTATACACCAGACCTGCTTCTTTCTCTGGCTTCTTGACTTCTTTCGGTGGTTCCTCTATCGGAGAACTTTTCTCATCTTCAGAGGAAAGCGGATCTTCGTCTAAATCTAAGAGATCATCTCTATTCTTCTTCTCTTCTCCAATGTCAACCTTCAATGGCGCAATCCGTCCCCTAATAAGAGCCTCCTCCTGCAATTCTTCAACCTCTTCAGCCTCTTGGAAGAGAACTGCAACTGCTTCAGCTTCTGAGTTCGATTGAACAGTTGTCTTCTTCCCAAGTTTAAAACTAAACATCTTTTCTTGACACTCTCTGGACCTGTCTGTTAAATGGCTGATTTTCTTCACGCCCGATGTTTGGCCCCACTCAAATCTTTACAAGCGAATTCTGGATCTGATCGATCAGCGAATCTTGATTTCTATAAGAATGTTTGGGCCTTGAAGGGATGTGTTGCAAACATTCTCTGTCCCAAACTTCCTGCATCAGCGAAAGACTTCACCCGTCAGGTACTGCGAGTTTTGATTAGTAACAGACTCGCGGTTGATCTCCCCCACATCTTTCGATCGTTCCACTCTGTAACTCATTGAAATCATTTTCTGCGATGTGATCCAATGTTGATCTTTATTACATTTGATTCATTTATTGTCATCATCAGGGATCGCGACAACAATGGGGTTGGAATGGAAGCGAATTTCGGAATTGGTCCAATACAGTGACGATGAAGCCATTAGTGACAGCTTTCCCAAAAGATAAAGAAGAAGTTAAAGAAATCATGAAAAAAGCAAATAGCAATAAATCAAAAGTAAACCATAAAGACAGAAAAGCAAATTGTTTGTTTGTCCCAAAGTCCCACTTATCGTTGCTTTGTCTTCATCTGGTTGATTTCAAACAATCATGCGAATCGTATCTTCATCTGGTTGATTTCAAACAATCATGCGACTCTTCGTTCTGTCAGTTACGATTCGTTGGAGGTTCGTGCAGTCCGGGTCCGTTGGCTGCTTCTGATCAGTTGATGGTCTTCACGGACAAGATGGACAAAGTTGTATGGGTCAATCCTGAGGAGTAAGCATCACCACATTTTTGTCATCAATTGATTCTTGAATCAAAATAATTCTCTTGAATTTTTCAATAATTTATCTTTATTGATTCTCTTTCCTCTAGAAAGTTGATTCGAGTGCAGAGTGGAATGACTTTTTGTCAACTGAATGAAGCCCTCGCTGAAAACGGTTTGGGATTCCCAGTTCTTCCCTCGATTTCTGATCCTTCCGTCGGAGGAGTTCTTGCGACGGCAATCCACGGAACTGGAGCCGACATTCCGTCTCTTTCTGCTTACGTGGAGTCTTTCGAATTGATGACCCCAACGTAGGAAAGGCATCGATGATGCTTTTGTCATGATTATTCTTCGCAGTGGAGAAACATTGGAATGTTCAGAAACTCAAAACAAGGATCTTTTCAATGCTGGAAGATGTCACCTCGGTGCTCTGGGATTCATATCAGAAGTAACATTTAGAGTCAACACAGAATTCAAATTGAGGTAGAAATCTTTTCATCTCATATTTTAATGCATTTCATCCAATGGGCTTCCAGACATCGCGTAGCAGATGCTTCTAATCTTTACGTTTCTGATTTTATTTTTTTGATCAGAGCACTTCAACAAATGGATGATTTAGATTACGTTCTTCGTCATTTACAAGGAATCATGACATCCGCTCAATACACTCGCTTCTGGTGGATCCCACATACAAATAAAGTGATTATGTGGAGAGCTGCGGTTGCTCCAATACAAGTAAATCAGATTCCTCGATATTTTTTTAATTCAGTTTCAATTGATATTTTTTTAATTTTCAGACTCCCAATAAAAGAGCCAATGATTGGATTCATCGACAAAATCGATTTTTTAATCATTGTTATGAAGTCCTTCTTTTATCCGCGCTCTACCTCAATCGAATAACAAAATGGACGAATAACGTATGCGTTTCTGTGTCCCAATCTGATTGTTATTTTTCTCTAGTTTATAGCGAAGTTTATTCTTTCGGGTCAATCAGAAATCATCGACCGAAGCGATAAAGTCTTCAATTTTGATTGTCTTTTCAAGTGCGTGATCATCCAATTCTTTAACTGATATTACTCCTTCAGGCAATATGTTGATGAATGGATGCTTCCTGCGTCTCAATTACCAACATTGATGCGACGAATGAGAAGATGCTTAGAGAAGCATCCAGAATGGGCTGCTGATTTTCCAGTAGAAGTAGGAATCTCTTTTCCCACATCTCTTCCCCCAAATCTCTACATCTCTCCCCCACTTTCTCATTGTGTTATTGCAGGTCAGATTTCAAAAGGCTGATAACATTTGGTTGAGTCCATGCTATAAGGAACAATCAAATGTTGAGACAGCTGAAGATCCATTGGAGAATGTTTTTGCGTGTGTTGGCATTATCGCTTATCGTCCATTTGAGCTTGAGCCACCAGCGCATTGGAGGGAGTGGTTTGCAGTAAGGTGGACTGGGACGGCGTTTATAGACTGCCACTTCGTTTTTTAGGCTTTCGAAGACATGGTGTTCGAATTAGGTGAGCGACGAGAACGTACTTGAATTGGATCTATTTGGTGACAATTGTTCGATCCTCCCTGTCAATCGAATGTCTGTGTTGCTCAGGAGGCCGTCCACACTGGTCGAAAGAAGCAGCTCTCGATTTTCCCTACTTGAGTGAAAGATATCCGAAATGGAAGGAGTGGAATACAATTCGAGAACGATGCGATCCAAACAAAGTTCTACATAATGAATGGCTGGAAAAAATAACAGATGCAAATTGGGAATCCCCCATGAGAGAACGCCAAAGATTATCACGCACGATGGTTTGGTCCAATCATTTGCTCAAAAATAAAAAATAGACATCTGGACTGTTTTTTTTTTAATTTGAGACGGTCCTACACGAACCAGGCGCATCGACTTCGCGCACAACTTTCGTCGAATGGCTTCACTACTTCGAAATTTGAGATCGCGGGTTTTAAACCACACGAGGACTTCATTCAGATCAAAACCACCAGTGAAATCAGGTACGAGGTGGATTCAGAGATACTGTCGTCTCATTCGTTACTCCCGCTCAGGTGTCGTACGGAACACAGCCGCGACAGTCGTGTTAGGATCTCCGCTTCTCTTGACAGATTATTCCGAAAACAATCCAATTAGTGAAGTTGTTCTTCTCTCTGGAAAAGCTCTTGGATTTTTGACTGAAAAGATATTTGAAAATGAGTCCGGACAATCGATGATGCTTGGACTATTTCTCATTTCAATTGGGTTTGCGTCGGTTTACTTTAATGGGATGACCGCTTATACAGTGCGGAAGATGCAAATTCATCATGCAACCAAATTTGGACAAATAGGCGTCCCGTTTTATACTTCAAGAGCTTTGCCACCAAATCCTCTTCTCAAAGTAAAAAAGGCCACATAAGTTGCTTTTCACAGAAAATCACAGACTCATTCTTGTTCTATTTTTTACCCTTTTTGCTTGATGCTGAAAACAGGTTTCACGACACACTAATATTGCAACGATGATGCCTCATCCACCTCCTCTCAATCCCGGTGGGGGTGGCGGGGTGAAGACAGAAGGATTGTAAGGTTTCCATTCCCATTGCTGCAGAAATACGATCATCTAACTATTATATTCAATTGTACCTGCTTGGTGTCATTTGGATTGCATACAACAAAGTGAAGCTGTTCAGCCTCTGCCCCCAAACACTTCGCCTCAGATCCCAACTTCAGAAGTTTTGTGGTTGAATTATAATCATAACTGAAATCAAAGACGTTATTCGACCTGTTTACGCGTCTAGCTCAAATATTCCATAATGAATGAATATCTCACCTTGCCTGTTCTCTCTCACACCAATCGGTTTGATTTGCTTTTGGAGTCCCTCCACCACTCAAGCAGGATTCATCATTGTTAACAGGTAAAATATGGCGAGGTCTTGCAAAATACATCCACTCTTGATAACTTCCACCATTACACGCTCGGAGTCCTACAGGCTTTCCAGGAGTATCATTCCAAAGTGTATCTAAACATTGACCGGTTCCAACATTTTTAAGAGGTCCTGCATCATTCAATTTTATCAATAAGACAATATCCTGCAGCCCACCTAGATAAGGAACATCCGCAGGAAGCTCCTGAACATCGGACTCCGGATTGACCACTTTCAAAAACCAACTGAACGATCTACATTGCTTCGTTCTTCTCCACTTTCTTAAAGTTTCATAATCACCAAAATCAACACGAGGCTGTCCAATAACACGCCTGATGTAGAATGGACAATATTGAGACAGACGGCAGTAGGAAAACCAAGATGGTAGTTCATTCATATTTGAAGAGTACAAAGTTTTGTTGGTGTACGTCGAGCAAATATGGATGCTTCAACTATCTGGTGGTATATACTAAAATCTTACCACGCCAAATCACCAAATTCGTCCATCCATATTGTCAACAGACGCATTTTGTTTTTGGTGACTGCGTCGGGCGGACTCTAAATAAGAAGGACAAAATAGAAGCGCGTGTCACTCTAGATTTTTGTCCCACCGAGTATCCAACACCTCCTTTTCTAAAAATATGATAAACACGAGAGCAAGGTGCACACTCAAGGGTTCCTCCGCACATCCACGTTCGAAAAGACAACTCAAGATTTTCGGTTCCTGACGACGGAGACCGTCAAAGAGATTAGCCGTTCTCATTCACGCACCCCAGAACGAGAACTGTTCATCGTAACCGCCTGAAAGCAAAAAAAAGATTGAGATGCGAAGATCTCAGCTGAGAGAGAACTGTTTTAAAAACAGTCAAATCAACTTCACCTAAGTCGTTCAAAAAAAAATCTCGATTGGCAGCAAACAATCCTCCAGCCATCGTAGGAGATGAAACGAAGTCAGTTGGGGAAGCGTTGCGACGCGCTTTGGGACTTCGATAATCAGGATAAAATCCGTGTTCAATCAGCTTCCACAAAAAGCCTAACGAGAACAGAATGTGTTCCGTACGTTCGAGCAGTTCATACCGAGAGTGCAGCCAATGCCGCCAGGATGTGGTTCGAAGGTCTCTGGGTTTGTTGCGTCAATTTGTGGCATTAGAATTCGCGTTCTATCTTCATGAATGCGTTGGGAGAGAGGCTCTGCCCACCCTTCATTGACTTCGATGTGTGAATCCAGAATGACAAAGATTGGAGCAGAAGACGCACGAATTCCCAACATGCGAGCGGAAACAATCCCTGTCAATACAAAGCGTTCATATTCAAGAAAACACATTGAAGGACTTGCCCTTCCGTGTTGGGCTTCGCACCAGACGCGTTTTAGGGAGAAGGCGGATGTAGTCGTCGATTTGACCGCCAGGGCGAATCCAGCTCAAATCGCTTCCATCGTCCACAAGAATGATTTCTTTAAGCAATTGAGGGGGGCGTCCGATTTAATACAGAATGAACGGAACGAAACAATGTCGAAAGTGGTTCATTGTAGAAAACAATAATCACGGAGAGCGATGGCAACCTCTCAATGTGGTAGTGTATACCTCTACGACAATACAAAAGATTTAGAAACGCGAAATTCACGAAGACTCATTTTGACAGAAGATTTGTTAACCAACTCTTTTTGACCTGCATTCTGGATGTCTACTGTCCGCTACATCGCGATCCAAGGGTAATGCGTCAGAGAATTTGAGATTGAATCCTCCTCCTTTTTTCAGTAGAACATCCATGGGCGCTCCCTAATTAAACAAGCTGTTTGTACAAGAGGGTATTCTGCAGCGTACCGGTGAGTACACGGGGTTTGGCTGCCATCCAGGAGACCCATCCTCCCTCAGGCCAATCTTTCCATGAAGCCTTATCTTCAGTTCTTCAACTCGTGCTCGTTGTAACTTCTCTGCAGCCAAGTTGCTAGCTTCAAAACCACTTGGATCAGCCTCTTCTGCCCTGCGTAGAGAAGTTGGCTCTTCTATGTTATCTATAGATTTTCTCAAGTATGAAATATTCAGAACGAGCCAGAAGACAACGAGGCTAATGAGGAATATTTGAACGACACAAGTTGAAGAAAATGAACAACGGAAACGATGACGTTGGGACTTCCCTGGTCGACCCCCCAAGTCTGAGACGACGGGAAATCTTCTATTCTGGGTTGGAAGCATTATTCAACCGACAGTCATGGACCAGGCTGAAACAGACCCGCCCCTTTCAAGTTTTTCAGTGGATTTGTAAAAAACGGCAACAGAAGTCACACCCTTAAAGCAAAGTCTTCTCTTACCATTTCTGAGAAAGGATTTCATCTGGGAATCAGTACTCAACAAGCAACGGAAACGAGCGCTCTCGCGTATCCTTCTAGCTTCCACCATGAAATGATGAGCGAGGCTTTGCTTCTCTAGTACGTGATTCTATGTGTTCGAAATTTAGAAAGTCGTGGAACTCCGAACCACAAAACGAAAAGTGCAGCACAACGAAGCAATACAGCCATAGTTGTTCAGAAGGGAGAGTGTTCATTGGAAAAGCGGATGTGGTCCCGAATCCAAATAGTTTGAATCACTTCGACGGCTTACTGTCGAGATACTTCTATGTACTCGAACAATAGATGGCTACATCTAAAATTCAGAAACCAACAAAGCGGTTGATGCAATGCTACTAATGTGATCTAAAGCATTGAATCGAACCAACACGGTCGCCGAGGCGACTCTTCGGGTGACAGAAATCATACGATTTTGTGCAAATTTGATTAACGAGACAACGTCTTAAAGAGGGCCATCATAACGGCGAGTGAATGTTTTTATCATCACGAAAGAAGCAGATGACAATTCAATAATCATTTGGCCAGATTGCAAGACACACACATGGCAACTGTAATCGACTCGGGAGAGCAATAATGCTTCATAAGCATCGTTTGAAAAGAAACGTCCAGATCGCCAATGGCTACGCTACATTGACCGAACAGGTCCATGTTACCGGCAATCACGCCCCTTTTGTTTTCCCAAACTTGGTCATCATAAATTGCGAGTTGCGAGTTTCTCCTATGAATGCTGGGCAACTCCCGCGATCAGACGACGATCGACGCTGAGGATCTTGGCTGACTCATGGAAGACACATTTGTAATTTTCCGCACATGTTACAGTGAGCTCCCACCGTCGCATGCATGCAGGCAAAAATTGTCAAAGCGTGCTTGCCAGCGAAGAGGTTTCAGCGAGTCGACTAAGACTTATTCAGCATTCTCACTAGTAACATACGACCCTTTCGCCTTTTACTAAAGAGTCATGTGTTGAGAATGTATTTTGAAATAAATCAATTTTTGAGGGAGATTCGTCGCCCAACTTTTCTTGCAATCTTTTTAAGAAAAATTGCGAATTGTCTAAATTGTTCGCGTAATTTCCATCATGTGAAGATTTCGGATTGTAATTACAATTTGCCAGAACTGACTGCCACGAACCGTGTATCCAAATAGTTCATTTCCCTTTTGGCAATGGAAGCTTGCAGCAGATTGCTTCAATGCACCCCGAATTATAGTTTCCCAAACAGATACAGATAACAGTTCTGAAACACTTCTCTCATCGACGAAGCTCCGTGAATTTCGGCAAGTTATCGAACCACAAACATTCGAAAAGAATCTTTCATTTATGATCCAAATTCCGACAGACGCACATACTGCAAGTCCAATAGTTTAGATTCCAATTTTCACTGAATATCAACGTAGCGATCAAAACTGATGAACAATCTTGTTCAGAGACAGCGATTTCGACGAGTCGAAGATGAATGGGTTGTGCACCAGGCCGACAGAAAAAGGACTGAAGCGCATCGATGCGATGAACTCAAGAACACTGTTGACCACAAATTCCGCGTCTCATGTTCTCATTGGTTTCAGGATTCTGGAAATGGTTGACAAGCAAAAACGAATTACGGTTTTTGATCATCGGTCTTGATAATGCAGGAAAAACGACGACCCTGGAACAATTGAAAAGAATTTATTCGTCCCCGACAAAGAAGCAAAATCTAGAACGTGTTACTCCGACTATTGGATTGAATCTCTGCCACACCCACTTTGATTACTCAACAAGTGGAGTCTTTTGGGATTTGGGGGGCCAATTGATTTTACGTGATATTTGGGAAAAACATTACAGCGAGTGTGATGGAGTTCTCTTTGTCATCGATAGTACGGACGAAGATCGATTTGCTGAAGTCAAATCGACTTTGGACAAAATTCTCAATCATTCAGTATTAAGACAACGAGATATTCCCATTGTAATCTTGATCAACAAACAAGACGATACAGAACATGCTGTTTCGTTATCATTTTTGATTGGGTATTTAGGGCTGAAAAGTCTCGTTACTGACGCAGTAGAACCAGAGGATCAAGGTGATGTTGTTCTGATTCCGTATCCAGCTGACTCAAATCGACAGTCACACGTTCCATCCGCTGAGGATCCAATAGCGTCGTTATCGCACATCCTTTCAAGAGATTCAGCAGGACCTGTTCTGGTTTGTATCTCTGGATGTAGCGCAACAAAGAATGTGAATATCAAAGAATCCATTGACTGCCTCGTTAAAGAAGCCAAAGAGTTTGCAGAGAAGAGAAGACAATGAAGAGGAGAATAAGGCAGATTTTCTGTTTTTCGTTGTTTTGCAGTTTTTCCAGAACCGCGACTTCGTTTTCGTTTGCATCACACTCCAAGAGACGATCAACGCGACTGATCTACTTCACTGGACTCTAGCATTCCCGTTTGTATCATCGTTCGCTCGATTCTATCAGACTCCTAATGAACAAGTCCCAATAACTCACTTGGAAGCATCTCTGTTTTAACTATTTCTATCCGAGTTTCATATACTTCTTGTCTTTTGGGGCATTGTATTCATTCAATGTCGATTTACACAAATCAGCTTCATTCCCAAGAACAGAAAATCCTAACGTCCCCAAACTGTTCAAATGATAGATTTGCCGTGTCCCAAATTGTGTGTCTTGTATTGCCCATATCTTCATCAGTCGTTTCTCAAGACGTTTTTTATCAACCAGTTGTAAATGATGCAGTTGTTGAGTATATAGTGACACACCGTATTCATTCGTAAAGAGAGATTGGGAAAATGTTTGTACAAAAACGACTCACAGATTAAAACACATTAATACTACTTTTAAACCGCAGTTTCGGGATTCGGCAACAGCGGATATGGACTGATATATAAACGAGGATCTTCTTCATTAAATGTTGAACTCATTTCTGCGACCCCACGCGTCTTCCTTCTCATTCTCGGGCAACATCCCCGGCCCTTATTGTCGCTTCTCGTTGGAATCAAATTCATCTTCCGCTGCTCCTCCTTGAAAACAATCAGATTGGCAAACGTCCCTCTAATGATTGTTTTATAAGTCTGTTGATCTTCGCTCGCTAGCTGGGCGAACAACTTCTCTGGGCTCACTGCATTAGCTGTATGAGGGGGAGGAAGTACATCGTCGGAGGGGCCGGGTACCTCTTTTCGTCGACAGCAGCAACCGCAGCAACAATTCGATACCGATCTTCCAAGGCCAACCGCAACATCACACGCGAAATAGCAAGAGACTTCACATGGTTTTACGATAAGTGATCCAACACCAAGAAGAACCCCTACTGCACAGCCACAACAGCCGCCCGATTTCCAGCCATTAACCGGTCGGGTTCGGAAGGCGTCCACACCATCCACAATTCCTTGTCGGAATGTTTGATACCCTCGACGAATTCCACTTCGCAGTCCTGTAATTCCTTGGGTTTTCCGTCTCCACGTCCAATCAACAATTGGAGTCGAACTGCATTTCAGAGAATTTAACCCACTCGAAACAGGAATGACGCCATCTGCGAGAAGCTCGTCACCAAAAAGGATCGAGTGGCACAAAACGCATAAACGCGTGTGAGAAGCGTGATGCACGAGTGTTCCTAGAAACACTCTCGTGACCAATGGATGCCCCAACGCTGAGAGAAGAAGATGTTCAAACTCTTGTTGAGTTTGTCGAACAGACTCAGCCAGATGACTACAATCCCCATTCTGAATAAAATAAGACATCATGCCTGTATTTGCACTCGCTTGCTTACTTCGGCCATTGTGGCGTATTCAAACGCGCTCAAACAGACTTCGCACTGCATAAAATCGAGTGGTAGTTGTCTGATGAACGATTTCAGAGCTACAACAAAGAAAAGCATTTAATGGAAAAACGACTTTCGGGCGTCTGACCTTCTTTCAGTCCATCCTCCGATTGAATTCTTCCTGATAAACGTTTTACTCTGGAACGCACTTCAGGACGTTTACAGAAAAGCAACGCTTCAGCGAAATTGGAAGAAGTCAAACTTTTCGGCTCGATGGGTGGAGGTCCCACTCCGGCCGTCATTACAGTTTGGCCCCAAAAAAATTGATCACCAAAAAAAGGCAGAACGATTGTTGGGCAACCCGCTTTAAGACCCGCCGCGAGGGTCCCAGCACCTGAAGAAAGGAACGGTCGTTTGCGGACACTGCGACATTCTCACGGCATGATCTCACCTCCGTGATGGCAAACAGTGCTGCACCGAAGGAATAACCAATCATGTGGAACATTATCAACGACGAAAAAATTAGGATGAGAGATTGAATTCGTTTTGCTTTTATCAGAACTCCATCCTTTATTGATGAGGGCGCGAGTACCTGTTTGTTTCAAACCCTCGAAGATCTTCTCATAAATGGAATCAATATCATCAACAACAATTGACCCAAATCCAACATAACTGAAAAAAAGAAGTGAGATAATAATGAAAATAGAGAAAAGATAATTAGATCATTCTATCAAAGTACATTGGTGGTTCGCCTGCTTCAAGAAATCGTGCAAGATCAGCCGGAGGTTCGTATTCTGGGGAATTGAGAAAGAAGAAGCCAACGACATCGATGTTGCTTCCCCAGTCAAGCGGTTTAGGAATCAAACTGGGAGACCAACAATAAGTGAAGGGGACGCGAAGAGTGTGAATCAGAATATCTGCATGATCGGAATTTCTGATAGGAAGAAGTCCCAAGCAATTGACTCGAAAATCGTTGATGATACTATGGAGTCCCAACCAAAGTAATTTGTCAACTGAAAGATAACAAAAGAGGGAAATGAGTCGAATAGAGAAAATGTGTGGGATACATGCCTAAAAAGTAAGAGATTAAACGTTGATAAGGATTGGGATCGCTGAAATAAAAAACAAAATAAAAACCAAAATGGCTTCAGAGAAATAACATACTTTGAAAAGAGTGTAAACGGGTGTGAAAACTCTTCCGTAGGGCTCCAGGGCATCGTAAAAAAGAGATGGCAAGGAATTTGCAATTTCTCAGCAAGATGGATATGAGCCAAACAAACGGGATTTGCAATGATCAATCCAGGTAAAAATGGTTCACCCCGTTTCGGAGTCCGGTTCACTACACAAGAGACAATGACTCTTCAAATTAAGATGATGGAATGCAGACCTTCATCAAGAAGATGATTTCTTACAAGCACGCTGGCCACGACGACCACAAAATTGAGCGCATCAATTGTTTCTTTTTTGGAATTTCACGAACGTCTCTAGGAATGAGACCTGGATTCTTAACCATATACGCCATCAACTCCTTAGGATCTCCTCCTGCATCAACAAAGATATTAAAAACCAGCTGCTCATGTTTATTGTCCATGGCTGATTCTGAAGCTTACCTATCGGATGAAATTCGATGCCTTCGTTCCGTACGAAATCCTGAAAGAGTACAAATTTTATTTTGGCTAGACTTCTCAAATAAGAATATAATAAATGAGAAAAAGACTCACCTTAAAAACTTCATGAGTTGCGATTCTGACGCGATGACCCAAAGTATTCAGCTCCTTTGCCAAAGCGATAAAAGGCTGGACGTCTCCTCTTGACCCAATCAGCAAAATCAAAATATTGATCTTAGGAATAAGCATGTGGGCATTGGGACGTCCGAACAGCAAAGAGGGCAATTCAGTAACGTTTTCAGAAACAGCTTGATGGAGGAAAAGATTCAACCTCCGCTCGAGTTGTTGCCCTGCGCGAGAAAATGAAAACTGATACTATTTGATAATTTGTCACCTGAATGAATAATTCCATTGGTTTTGCTGAGTTGTTCAGGATTGAGAATGTCGCGACAGTCAGGAACTGGAAATGTTGGAAACCTTTTTTTGACTTTCATTAATGCAAATAAAATTGTGTCCACGGAAAGTGTTCGCTGGAACAGAAACTCCAATCCGGGGTATTCTTGTTCTCGCGATCTGTTCTCCTTGTCCTTTAGAATTGCGGGATGCTGACCAGCTGATTTCGGACGAGGGTTTGATGGAACGTTTCTTTGCTCATAAAGGCGGAACACGAATGCAACAGAATCTCCTCTTGCGACAAATCCAGTCACTTTCACAAAAACCCCAGAGAACATTGCACCATCGGCTAGAACGCGTTCGCCATCACTGTAGAACGCCCGTGAAGAACCACTCGAGAACAAATTGCTTACGCGCTGTCTGTTTCAGAATTGACGTCATCACGCACGCCGTTGACCTCATGTCGTGCATAGACCGAATCCCTGCGACGACCAGATGAGACTGTAGAAGATCTTCCATAGTGACCCAAAGAATGGCGACCCAACACTCTGGAAAACCGTGTCTCATCGGTAATTGATATGAATTGTCCATTTGGTTTCATCAATTTCATCATCCGTCGTTCCTGTGAATCGTCGATAGTTGAGAATCAGAACTGTGGCGTACCTCTTTCGTTGTTGGTCCGCCAACCGCATTGTCTTCTGCATCTTCCCTCAAGTGCGTAGTCGTTGGTTCCATTTCAGTCGCACGAACTGCGGCACACAGATTCAGTCCTGTGTTAAGATCATGTAACAGAACTGCACTTGATGAAGTTCGCACCACACTCTTGTCTTTGTGGACTTCGATTTCTTGGCAAAGAGATGAAGTGAAATTCACGTTAATAGAGATTTAACATTTGTTTTGTTATCCAGTTCGCTTCTTGATGGAATCAACGGTGTCTACCACTCCCCTTCATTCAGATGAACACAGCGACGAATCCACTCCCTTGCCGCGCAAGTCACGCAGACGCCAATCATCTCCAAGTTCAAAAGGTACGTCCCCCCTTCAGTTGAGAGCCGCTACACCATCGACCGTTAGGAAGCCGCCCGAATCTTTTACGGGATTTAGTGCGCAGTGAATTTGCGTACAAGAACATTTCATCTGAAAATGCAGTACAACCCTCGCGCAGTGGGAGCCGCTTTGTTACTGTTCAGACCGACCTGGCATTGGAGTATCTAGTTGATACTATTGCTAAGAGTCCCTTTCGTTCGATAAAATTAAGTGTCTCTCCCAACTGCCCATCGAATGAGAAAAAGAGATCCGCTAGTTTGGCGTCTGACAGAGCAGCTCCGATAGAAGTATGCTGAACCGACTGAATATGTTTGTCTGAATGATTGATGCAGAAATTAGTGAAAACTTACACAGTTCCAGGACTCCAGGATGACTTTTATCTGAATTTGCTTGATTGGTCATCAAAAGAATTTCTGGCTGTGGCAGTGCATACTGATGTTCTCATATGGAAACCAAACATTGGAACAGGAAGCACTCAATCTGGTGGCATGGGGACATCAGAGTCGCCTAGAGACCGCTGCAACTTACCAAATGATGACGTCGTGCGGCTATCATCTCCTCCTACCAGCTCGCCTTCAACTGGGTCTTCCGTTTCGTCCATTTCGTGGAATAACACCGTAAGCTGATGTGATCAATTGATGCAATTCAGTCAATCAATACATCAGCTGTAAGGTGCTCACAAACTATCCTTTTTTTGCAACAGCAACCTCTGAGCCACAGCTTGGCCGTTGGCCGTAAATCTGGAGGAATTGAGGTTTGGGATGTTGAAATGCAGAAAGTCATTCGAACATACGGAAATCATCAACATAGAGTTGGAGTGCTGGACTGGTATGGACACTATTTATTATCATCTGGAAGCCGCGACAAATCAATCATTCATCATGACGTGCGATCACCTAGAAATGGAATATTCAAATGGGAGAGGCACGACCAAGAGGTATGACGTTAACCGTTCTCATATGATTTATATTATCACGTTCATGGATAAATCTCTTCTACATCTTCATCAGATTTGTGGGTTGCGTTGGTGTCCCTCGGCAATTGGTCTATCGGATGGCACACTTGCATCTGGTGGAAACGATAATAAGGTGTTTATCTGGCAGCTTGGATATGATCAACCAGTAATGAAATTGAAAGAGCATGGAGTGAGTTGACCCTGTTTCTTTCAATTGTTCTTTCAATTGTTCTTTAAATTCTTCTTTAAATTGTTAGGCAGCGGTAAAAGCTTTGAGTTGGTGTCCTTCGACATGCGGTGTTTTGGCAACTGGAGGTGGTACCAACGACCAATGTATCCGATTGTGGGATGTTCGATGTTCCAATCAGCCGAATGAGATTCAATCAGGAAATTCAAGCGCTGGAATCTCGTATGGAAAACTTTTAACGACGGTGGAATCGGGAAGCCAAGTAGGACGAAAAGACATTTCGATGTATTTTTCTTTGCTTTCCAAGGTTTGTAATCTCTTGTGGTCCAAATCGACGAATCAGTTGTTGTCAACGCATGGCTTTACTCTCAATCAACTTATTCTTTGGGACTTTCATGATCTGAAGCGTTCAACCCAATTACAAGATCAACCTGCTCGAAATTCTCGTTCTGATTTCCAACAAGAACACAATCACCGTGTCTCGCTCGTTAAAGTGCGGCGTTTCATCTAAAAAATTTAATTTTTGTTGTTGCAGAAAAATCATTTCGAGGGACACTCAGCGCGTGTACTTTATGCTACGATGAGCCCAACCAAAGAGGTGAGACTTCCATATCTCCCGTGTCCCAAATGTTTAGTACATTTCAGCTGGTTGCAACTGGAGCTGGTGATGGGTCTGTTTGCATATGGAAGTTTTTTTCTCCCAAGAGATCCCGATTTTTCAACAATTTATCTGTATGAATTTCGATAGTTCATTTTTTTGTATTTATTATTTAGTTATAACCCATTCAGCTTATATTTATGGATAGGTTTATAGACACATCTTTATAGACACATCTTTATAGACACATCTTCATAGACACATCTTTATAGACACATCTTTATAGATACATTTATTTATAGATACATTTATTTATAGATACATTTATTTATAGATGTATATGTATAGATATCTTCACAGTTAGTCCCAGCTAATCGCTTTTCTATTGAGTTTCTTCATGAAGGACAACTTGAAAAGTTTGTTACATTGTTGACATCAATTCATTCAAATTTGATCGTATGGGTGATTGTTGCCATCAATGGGTCAGCAGCAGAGTTCCGATCGATTTACATCAAACACATCAAATCTTTATTCCTTGGGTGAAATCAATCTCGAAGTGGATTGTATCGTAAGAGATGACAATACAAGCAATCAAGCAACAAAGAAAACTGGTTTATTCAATGCAGTCTGCAGTGAGTTAACAAATCGAGTCCATAAACACAAACTCGTCTCTCAGTTCCTGATGCGCCAAACAACTGCTCTTTCGTTTCCGCGTCCTGCGGTCTTTATCACTCAGCAATTTTGTCATCGTCGGGAGAGTTGTACACGTGTAAGGACATTCCTCCCTTGGTATATTCGACAATCGTTGGTATCTAGCGAAGTCGAAGCATCTATTTCTCAGGGGGACTTGCTTCGGATGGACAATTGGGACATTGCTTTAAGGGAACGGACATGATTGGATTTGAAGGAGATGCTGAATCTCGTTCATTAAATTTGAAGCAAAAATCGACTGATAGCGAGAGTGAAGGAATAACTGGAAAGTACTGTTCGGTTCCTCGTTTGGTTTCCGATCTTGCCCGTCATAAAATCACGCAAGTAGGTAAACCCTCACACGAGCATGAACAAGTTGTCAGTTGATTGCTTTGCACAGATCTCTTGCGGAGGGCGTCACTGTCTGGCTTTAGATAATGAAGGAGTGGTTTACTCTTGGGGGCATGGTGGAAACGGTACTTCATTATAAGCTCATTCGATCCAGTCAATAGGGATGGATGACGATTGTCCCAAATACATGCATGATTTCAGGAAGATTGGGACACGGCGCGGATATATCTGTGAATCATCCAACGAAGATCTCAGCATTAGAGCCGTATGTTGTTTCATCGATTTCTGGAGGAGGAATGCATTCAATGTGTGTAACAGAAGTTCCCCCTGGATGGGTATTCACTTGGGGTCTTGGCTCTTCTGGTGAGCCAGCCGCATCTAATATAGATTTTATTTGGTTGTTTAGGTCAATTGGGACATGGAAATGATACAAGCGACCGTTTCATTCCTTGTTTGATTCCCGGTTTATTTCCAAGTGTACCAGAAGACAATTTAACGGAATCATCAAAAGAATCCGGTAGAATTCTTTGCACCCATAATCTTGATATCCCCAATACCTCCATAGACCCAATTAACAGCAATCGAGTGGTTCGAGTGGCTTGTGGTGGTTTGCATTCGGCAGCACTCACAAACAGCGGGATCTTATTCATGTGGGGAAGCAATAGTCAAGGACAACTGGGCATCAGCCAAGAGATAAGCAATTCAAAGATTCCATCAATTGTCAATTTTGTTCAAAGCAAGGAGTGTCTTCAAACTGAAGATGAAGTTTCTATTACATCGGTCACATCACTGCTAGGCAAATCGCCCATTCCTTCTCTTTGTGTCTCTGATGTTTCTTTGGGATTAGACCACAGCGGTGTCATCACACAGACGGTACAAACCGTTTCAATGTTTGCTTCTGATTTGTGTGTTTCCAGGGGGACGTCTACACATGGGGTCTCTCAAATTTCGCGACAAGTACGTTCGAGTCTCCATCACTCTGTAGATGGTGTTTTCCTTGACAGGCTTTTCTGGTGACGAACGAATCAATCGGACTCCGACGAAGGTGAACCCCGTATTGCTTGGGGGCGAAGCTGCCGCATCGGTAGGCAACGAATAAACATGCAACTGCTATCAAACTGTCATTTGTCAATATTCAGATTTATTGTGGGTATCGGTGGACAGTTTGTGTGACCAAATTGTCGAATGTTTATTTTTGGGGTTCTGACGTTTTGACTTCCGCATTTGTTAGAGAAGCTGCAATCACTTCATGTCAACGAACTTCGACAAAGTCGGATACGCTGGCAATCCAATCTTCTTCAGTCTCTCCAGATTCCCCCGGTGTCCCGATGATGATATCAGGGCTGTCAGGTAAAAAAGTGATTTCTGGAGTCAACATTCTTAAAACGCAGCTTTCTGTAGGTCGTGGTGTTGTATCAGTTGGTGCTGGAAAATCTCACCTAATCGCTGTCGTCAATTCCGAAATTTTCACTTCAAGAATGAAATTTCAAAAAGAAGAAACAAAGAATTTCAGAGATTTCAGAGAAACGATCCAAAGTCCTTCGAATTATGGCTTTCCTCTTCCAAAATCTGCCGCTTCGATTTTTGAAGATTTCAATCAAAATGTGTCGCCGGAATTTCAATCCGATAAAGAATTTGGATTAAATGAAACAAAAGTATCAAACTCATTATTACGACTTCTATTTCCAACAATTCAATTACATCCAAGACTCTTTCAATCTCTGATGCGATTGGCACAACCAGCAACTCAACAACTTGAAAACGTTTCTAAAATCTGCAAACACTCGTTTGGGGCTCAACACCCAGTAAGATGTTCACTTGATTCTGAAGAGACTTAGTGGCTCGCAGCACAAATCAGAACAGACTTTCTTTTTTGTCCTCCAGATATTTTCTGAACAGACTTTCTTTTTTCTTTTGTCCTTCAGATATTTTCTGAAGATTCCAGTATTTTTCAATCTCTCGCGTCTCTATTGAGTCCAGATGAAAGTTGTGTGGCCTCTAGTAAGTAGTGCGCTCCCCAGAGCTGTTGCTTCATCGCGCTTTTATCAGCCGATCAGACATCTCCGCCCCTATTGGAGACACTTTCCAATGACGATGTTCTCTCCGTTGTGTCGGCTGAGCTTCGCCTGCATCAACGGTTCACTTTAAACCTCTTACAAGCTCTAGGAACATCAGACTCTTTGGTACTGCTACAATGTGTTAACATCAGTGCCTGTGTGGTCTTTCTGTAGTTGGCAGCTGCAATCCATGAGTGCAATGAATTGAAGCAAAAGGAACTGAAATCTCAATCTGTATGTTTGACGCTTATCCAAACTTCGACTCTTCTCTTGTAGGAAATTCAACGTCTTGAAATCGAATTAGAAAGAGTTCAGAAGAACTCTGAGAGTTTAATGTCTGAAGCATCAAAACGCTTCAGCGAAAAAGAGTCCCGGTGGCGCAACACAGTCTCGCACTTGAAGACTTTGATTGATTCGAAGAAACCATACTTGTTGTAAATCAAGAAACCATACTTGTTGTAAATCAAGAAATCTTACTCTTGAGAATAACAAACCTTCGAATTGCAAGAACAGTTTTAACTCTCTCTTTTGTAAGAATTGATTTCTATGATGCGGATATTTCTTTCCTGTTCTGAAGAAGTTCTTAGAATTTTTTTGCTTTGAGGCGCTACTTTCCAAAATATGGCTGTTTACTATCCCAAGTGTCGACATAGTAATTGCTTGCTCATTAGACAAAATTATCAGGGAAACCATGATTTTGGGACACGACTTTGAGACAGACGAGAATCGAAGGTGCTAATGAGACTATTATGTTTGGAGTCCTTCTGTTTGTTTTCTTTTTTGCAACTCAAAACTTCAGTGAAGCCGTTTAAAAGCAACTGTTACACACCAGAGAGGGACTCACGATGCCTCCCAACGTGTGGAGTCATAGAGAGTGGTCTCTCCTTGCACTCTAGTTGGTGTGGAATTGTTGACTGTGAAGAGTCATCCACAGATTGGTCAACGGTCGCTCTAGTATCGTGGGAACGGGCTTCTTCAGCTTGATTTCGCTGCACGCGTGGATGCGTGCAACGGGAAATGTCAAGCTTGTGGCAAGACGTGTAGGAAAGCATGAGACCACGAAGACAGCGCGAAGTAGGAGTTGGAGTCACTTCGTTGGCCGTGACGTCAGTAGATGAGCCGTAAAGTCATAGGGTAGCTAGATGGCGTGATCGTCCACGAGAGTTATGGCACAGATTTTCCATCGCTGTATCCGCGTGTTGTCTAGTTCCCACGTCTGGGAGCTTCCCCTTTTCTTTGTCCCACGGCTGTACAAACTTGGTGCCTGCTAAAAGGTTGGCCCTCGTCACAGTTCCCCCAACCCACTCTTGTACCCCATCCGCCGGTTCGGCAACAGCTCTTCGACAGATCACGAACCAACTTCTCAGTAGAAGAGCCAGGCTCGTTCAAGGAATTTGAAGGGGGTGGTGTTCCCTCGCCTTCAATGTCAAAGTGGTCAGTGGAACGTGGATGCTCCATTTTACGTAGTCGAGAGTACGCGCTGACTGTAGTTTAGTGGGTGCACACTTGTAATTAGGTGTGGGGCACGTAGGTTCAATTAGCTGCCTCTAGCCTCAAAGAAAATGCGTAAGTCGCGGATGCGCTGCGTTCTTATAGCAAGTTCGTGTTGAGAATGTTGCTTGTTTGTACCATGCAGAGTGATTGGGGCGCATGCTTCAGGCGAAGCCAAAAAACCACGTAGAAAGAAATAATTGGATGATGATGGTCGTGAGCGTGATGCGTAACGTGGCTGCAAAGAAATGACAAATCCGTGTTGTTGGACTTACTGTGTACTGTTGAACTGAACTGAACGACGCTCAGCTAGCGGCATTCCAA